TGGAATATTCAAATAAAAATCATTGTTAAAATGTTGATTTCAATGATTGGAGAAAATTCAAGAGCAAAATATTTTTCAAACCATTCGATAATCAGAGATGTGATTCCGCACCAAAGAAGACAGGACATGTATTTTGCAATTTTAGAACATCCCAAAATGAAGGGTGCTAAAATTGTGATTCTTTATCTTTTGGGTGATCGATTGAAGGTTGGTATAAGCAAAGAAACAATGCACCCACTGACCAACATACATGTGGCATGTGCATGGAACGTGATATCTTTCAATTCAGGTAAAAAAGCAAAATAAATCATTAAAAATGCATACCATTTTACAGCTAATCCAGAAACATCACCTGCTGCGTCATCTAGCTGCTGTATTACAACATTAGATACCTTTGCTTCAAGTTCAGCATCAAGTTTAAATCCTTCTTTATTCAATTCATTGAGCAAATCAGAAGTTTCCATGTATCTGTAATCCTTGTCCTTTCCAGTCATCTGCAATTATAGTCAAATTAGGGCATTACAAAAAATCAAGTATAACGAGCGGCTAATCACCTAACTACTAAGAGTAACACACACCCACACTAAATAACAACCATATAGTTGGAAAAATACCTTTTCTAGTACCGTTGTTATGACCATATTAGCCATTGTTGCAATCTTTCAACAGAGAAATAGGAATATCTTGTAACTGAATTGGCTACTAACAAAGAAGAGAAAATGTGATAGCAATGATATGATTTGGAAAACAAATAACAAAAGGCAACGAACACAATAGTATATATGACTCCTGATAGCAAGGGTATCATTTAAAGAGTGGACAACAAAAGGAAATGAAGAAGGAAGTGGATAATCTCAAAATTAATGGTAGATAACAACATTTAACCCGCAAAATTAAACGTACAAATGTACATTACACAATGACTAACCCCAATTTACAGCTAGAGCTTGATAATATCAAAGTAGTAAAGATGAAAAAGCGATTGAAAAAAACATTAACCACACACAATTTGCATCAAATACATTTGCAGCAAACCCCGACACAAAAGTCAAGATTTAATGCGATAAGAACCCTAATAACCCCCTCCGATTGCAGATGAATAAAGAATTGAATAAATAAGAAACCCCTTCAGAGAGAAGGATTAGTGTTCTCCGGAATGCGTCAAAAACCCGAAGGGGTGATTGCGTCAAAAACCCGAAGGGGTGAATGCGTCAAAAACCCGAAGGGGTTAAAGATGAAGACGAAGACAGCTTACTTCGAAGTATGCCACCGGATGGCCGAGCTCGACGGCGCGTGATTATGAAGCCGATCGGTCTGCGATTGAGGTTGAGTTTGAGGTTGAGCACAGCTAGAGAGTGCGGGGAGTCGTTGTGGACTGGTGGAGTGTATGGTCAGGGCTCACAGCGGAGAATCGCATTTTATGTACTGCGATGAACAAGAATCGGGAAAACGGATCATTCCATTCGGGTTTGGGTCGGGTAATTGGAAGGCGTTAGTAGGGGTGTTCATGTTTAGGTCTGGACCCAAAAAACCGAGCGGACCGGACCGATAGATCCAGACCGAACCCGGACCGAATTGATATCGGGTCGGTCTTCGGTCCAGAAGATATATGATTTTGGGTTTCGGTCTGGTTTGGTCCATACCCGATTACCATTCGGTCTGGACCGACTGACCGATAAAACCCTTTAATTCCTAATTTCTACAACCCTACTCTATCAGGCTATCCCTTTTCTCTGGTGTCGTTTCTCCCTCTCACTCTTGAATCGACAATCTTCATCTTCTCTCAGCACAAAATTCTCATTATCCAGCAAAACATCACTAACTTTGGCTTCCGATTGACCGGAGTAAAGCTCGATCGAATCCCCTCCGGAGGAATCGATCTTCAGAGTTCCATTTTCGGTTATGAGAAGAACCCTAGAATCTGATTTCAGCAGTCGGCCTCGATTGACGAGCTAGCAGCGGTTCTTAGTGTCCGATTTGTACCAAATCGAGAGGTATAATTCGCGAGCAGGGCTTCTTAGTATCCGTTTTATACAGTTGCATGATGGAATTTTTTCACTTTGATACAATTGCATCCTCAATTCCCTACTTTGATTTGTGATCAATTGTTATTTTTGGTTCCATTTTGGAAGGAATCTAATGAAGAAAATAAAATCCAAGTTACTGCAATTTTTTTCCACTTTGATACAATTGCATCCCCAATTCCCTATTATGATTTGTGATTAATTGTTATTTTTGGTTCAATTTTGGAAGGAATCTAATGAAGAAATAAAATCCAAGTTACTGCCATTTTTTTATACAATTGCATGATGATGTTTTTTCAGTTTAATACAATTGCATCTCTAATTGTAGAATATTTAAAAAATTAATTCTAAAAACTAAAAAAATTAGTACAGTTCGGTCTTTTCGGTCAAAACCGATCTGGTCTAAGGGTTTTCGGTTTGGTCCGGTCTAAAACTGAACACTTATAGGTCCAGTCTTCGGTCCTTATTTTTTCCCATTTCGGTCTTCGGTCCGGTCCGGTCCGGTCCCGGACCGATGAACTATGTAAATCTCAATTTATGAAATATCTAGGTATACCTGTCAAGCAATGGTGATGGATGAAAAAGTGCATGTACGAACAAAAGTACCTAAACTGGATTCTTAGAACTTCAACTTCATAAATGGCAATGTCCATGTACACCTTTGAAGCAATAGTAGAAGACAAAGTAGTGTCATCTGCAAGCACAAACATTAAATACACAAATCCCCATATTATCACATCTACACACAGGATTATTGCAACACAACTTACTCGTATACTCTTTCACCAGATTTGATACAGACTCCAACAATTACAGAATCCCCAAGTGAAGATTTCTGAAAAATAGAGTCCACAGCACTCTTGTCACAACGACTAAGTCTCAATTTTTAGCGGGTCATTTCGGGCTCGGTCATCAAAACCTCTGTTCAAAACCCAATGTTTTCAGGTCGGGTTTTGGGTCAAAAACAGGTCGGTCATTTATTGTCAGGTCTAGCTGTCCTCATATTTTATTTATTTCTTTATTTTTAAAGTTTCTCGCCAATTCGGTTGTGTAAGTTAAAGGGCATGTTTGGATAATTGAGGGAAATTTTGATTTTTGTTTCTATTTTAAGGACTGTTTTCTATTGTAGACAGGGATTTTAGACTACTAATTTATATTTCTTTAATTTTGATTATTCAATATACAAAAAATATTATCTCTAACTGCTTGGGTCTCTAGATAATTGAAGACAAATTTGACCAATGTTTCTATTTATTTGACATTTTGTGGGTTAATTTGCTCATTTTCGTAAATTGTTAACTCTGTCAACTATGTGTTTTATGACTCTGTGTAGGGTTGAGTTGTTGAACGCTTTAACTACTTCATTATAACAATGCTTGGAGAATTTGAATTTTGGGCATTTATTTAAACTATTGGAGGTGCAATGCAAACAATTTATATTAAAGGGCATGTTTGGATAATTGAGGGAAATTTTGATTTTTGTTTCTATTTGAAGAACTGTTTTCTATTGTAGACAGGGATTTTAGACTATTAATTTATATTTCCTTAATTTTGATTATTCAATATACAATAAATATAATCTCTAACTACTTGGGTCTCTAGATAATTGAAGACAATTTTGACCAATGTTTCTATTTATCTGACATTTTGTGGGTTAATTTGCTCATTTTCGTAAATTGTTAACTCTCTCAACTATGTGTTTGATAACTCTGTGTTGGGTTGGGTTGTTGAACACTTTAACTACTTCATTATAACAATGCTTGGAGAATTTGAATTTTGGGCATTTATTTAAACTATTGGAGGTGCCATGCAAACAATTTATATTAAAGGGCATGTTTGGATAATTGAGGGGAATTTTGATTTTTGTTTCTATTATAAGGATTGTTTTCTATTGTAGACAGGGATCTTAGACTACTAATTTATATTTCCTTAATTTTGATTATTCAATATACAATAAATATAATCTCTAACGCTTTAACTACAATAAATATAATCTCTATGCAGCATTACTTGAAAATTGCTATTAGAAATGAAAAAATGCCAGTGATATGTTGGAAGTCTTCAAAGACAAAGATAATACCTGGGGGCTGAATTGCAAAATGCAAGAATCAAGATTGGGGAGCTGGAGACGGAACCAGAGGAAGGCATCTTCAATCGGAGACGGACGACTTCAATCGAAGAGAGGGACGCTCTCTTGAAATGTTAAAAAGGCATTTTATTTCCCCTACACTTAGGTTCGTTACTAATAAAATAATCAGCACTTCCCCGCTAGCTCTAACGCCCGCTAAGTTCTAAATATTTCTTCGGGGTTAGTGGGAAAGTCATTACCAAATGGAAGAAACGTAATAATTGGGTTGCATGGTATCGTAACAAATGGCTCCTTATCTTTGAGAAAGAGAGGATATGGTTAAGAAGACAACTTAAGAGGATGAGATGACTAAGCATGGTAAAAGCAAAGGAAATTTACATAAGATAAGCAACAACTATGAATTCCATGCCTTCTTTTTTTGTTGGAATACAATTGGTCCACTTATGTTGCAGCTTGTAAATGAAATTTTAGTACACACCTGCAACGATAGATGCGAAGCCCAGGCTATATGTTGATTGAAACAAATCTCAGGTTCACTACGAAGTCTCTCATTCACCGATTCCAAGTGCTAATTTTGCCTACATATATCCTTATAAGTAAAACCAAATATGGATATAACAACAAACAATGTTACTTATTACTGTAAATTTACGCATCCA